TAATTTGTTCCATCCTGTCGTTACATTCTGTCTCTATGCTATATCACTCATCTTCGCCTTAATTATGTTGCACGACACCTCCGGTACTTACATATACAACCAAGTGATACTTTCTATGTAATTCCTTAGCAACAGTGGGGAATAAAGACATCACACAACTAAGTTAGCTAAGCCGTGTCAGTTCCCATAGCTTCATCAGAACACTTGCCTTCATCCTTTACACCCGTTTCTTATTGGCTTCCCCAATTATTCAAGACTTTTAACCGCACAATAATACCTTCTCCCTTCAGTACTTCTCTTAGTGAAAATCCTAAAATTGAACTACCTTAGCTGATGACAAGCCCAGCCAACAAAATGTGATATTTTTCACAAAAGAAAAACAAGGAAAAAGAGAGAGACAAAAAAATAATGCTATAATTGTTACGCTAAATTCCTACATTTTCAGTTAAAATATGTAAACAGAATAAGCTTCGGATACAAAATGAAATTAATGTTTGTTAAAAAACCTCCTTCAGTTAGCTGTTTCTGAGAGGGATTTTTTAAGATACTATCAATGGGTCAGGGTAGCACTGATTTTTTAGAACCTAACCAAATATGAAAACTATTGAGGACTTTTTTTAAACCGTTACTTTCATTGATTACGCTTCTGTTGATACTTCTGACTTGTGTTTTTCTTTATTTCTACTAGCTAGCTAGTTAGTTTACTGCCAAGAGTACAAATTCCCCAGCATTAACTGTAATAATCGGTAATACTGCAACCGTTATTGACAGGCCCAAGTAATGTTTCTTATACCCGTTTTTAATTGACTGCTTTTTGAGCCACTATTCTAGCGAATAAATCAATTTCATTTTTTTTTTTGTCTTTGTTTTTATTCATCATCATCTTAACAACTTTTAGACGTATAACAATCAGAATTGCAAACGTGTATAAAGGAAGACAAACATCTGTCTGAGATTACTAACTGATTTTTTTTCACTTCAGTTTTTTCTTCGCTCAACACCATGATTTTTAATTTTTTACAAAAATGTCTTTTTTTTCTGCTGAACTACAAAGACACATAAAAAGTTGAAAGATCACTGGACAAACATTCCTAAGAGAAGCCTTACCAA